CAAACGCTCCCCAGAGCCTCACCGCAGCCTTGCCCTCTTCTCGGCAGCTGGCAGGCCTGCCTCTTCTCTTCTTATGGGCTTCCGAAAGCGACGTTAGGCATTTTGGACCGGCTTCAAAAGCCTCTCGGCAGCCGGCAGGCCTCTTGCGGCCTCTCTGTGGCCTGTCCGAAGCCTGCCTCCTCTCTTCTTATGGGCTTCCGAAGACAACGTTAGGCATTTTGGACCGGCTTCAAAAGCCTCTCGGCAGCCGGCAGGCCTCTTGCGGCCTCTCTGTGGCCTGTCCGGAGCCTGCCTCCTCTCTTCTTATGGGCTTCCGAAGGCAACGTTAGGCATTTTGGCTCGGCTTCAAACGCTCCCCAGAGCCTCACCGCAGCCTTGCCCTCTTCTCGGCAGCTGGTTGAATGCCAGCATTGGTGTGAAGCCCATCCAAGTCTCGCTGTTGAATCCCAGGAAGTTGTCAAGGTTCAACCGCCAAACCCTCGAGATGAAAAGGGGTCGGCGGCACCCGGGCGGAGCCCTTACAATCCGGGCGCCGGCCACGCGCACGTTCCCTTGCCGGAGGCCTTCGGTTGGTAACCGAAGGTTATATACGCTCGCCGCCCCTGCCGCCGACCCTTTTGTTCGACCGCGGGGATACCCCCGCCCGACCCCCGACCAAATCCGCCCGACAGATTTATATGTATCTTGCGCTGGATGTTCGAGAAAGGTTCAAAAACATCGTTTTTTACAGTGTTTCGTGGCCTTCGGCGTCCACGACAGGGTGCCCGTGGTGTCAGTTATGCGTGCCGCGCGGACAGGCTTAATCGACATTTCGTGGATGTCGGGCACGTGCTAAGAGCAAAGGCGGAACATGTGCTCCAAGATGATCTGACAGAGGCCCTCAAGAGGACTCAACATAGGTCTCAGATATGGCCCACATAGCCCCAAGATGGGGCAACATAGGCCCCACACAGTCGCACATAGCCGCAAGATGACCCTACCTAGCTCTCAGATATGGGAAACATAGCCCCAAGATGAGCCAAGATTGCCTCAAGATGTGGCAACATAGGTCCCACACAGTCTCAAAAAAAAAGAGAGAGAGAGACAGCGAAGATGACTCTCCCTAGCTCTCAGATATGGGAAACATAGCCCCAAGACGGGCCACATAGGCCCCACACAGTCTCAAAAAGAGAGAGAGAGAGAGAAAGAGACAAAGAGAGAGAGAGAGAGAGAGAGACAGAGACAGCGAAGACAGATACAGAGAAGACCGAGACAGAGACAGAGAGACAGAGAAGACAGAGACAGAGACAGACAGAGACAGAGATAGAGACAGACAGAGACCGACAGAGACCGACAGAGACCGAGACAGAGACAGAGACAGAGACAGACAGAGAGAGGGGAGGGAGAGAGGAGAGAGAGAGAGAGAGAGAGAGAAAGATGGCAGGAAATGTGCAAGACGGCTCTCCCGACTTCGGCGTATACTCGGTATACGCCCGGGCGGTCAGCCTCCTTCGCGAGAAGGATGCTACCGGGACGCCCGAAGTCCCGGTCCCCGTCTTGCACAGGGAGGGGTTGTTCGGTCCCCCACCGACGGAAGATGTAGACGATGTGCACCTGGCGAGAACGAACTCGCAGACACTGCTGTCTGCACGCACCGCGCATCCGGCGAGAACGAACTCACAGACACACCGCGCGTCCAGCGCTCGCTGACCGGTCCTTTTTGACTGCTACGGCCTGGTTGTTGTCATGAAGTTGGCCGCGTGAGCGATGCTCTGGCGGAGGCTAGAGCGAAGGCGCAAACGCGCCAAGGATTGTGCGACTGGACGCGCACAGCGTCTAGGCTCTCGACGGTGGTGCGATGGAGGGGGTTGGTGATTAGACGGTTGTTGCCACCGCTTGTTAAGGCATGAGAGACTTGAAATGACATACCCACATACCCACGTCGAAATCGTGAGAGGGCATCGAGAAGGATGTGCTGGATGTGGCACAGTATTTGCAATGCGACTGTGACAGAGTCATGTGCTGGCAGATGGTTCAATCGAACCTTTGGCTCCACAAGCCCACGAAAACGAAGCCATGGCTGAGGCCGGGAGCAAACGATCGAAACCCTGCTCTGCACTTGGTTTTTGACAATGGAATATCTATTAAGTGGGCGGAGTATGGTATTTGCCGGGCATGAGCGATGCTCTTGCGGAGTACGCACCAAGGATTTGCGCGGTTGGAAGCACGCCGCGTTCGACTTGCCTACGGAGTGTCTAGAATGGAACTTTTATTAAGTGGGCGGACTATGGTTTTTGTCGGGCATGAGCGATGCTCTTGCGGACTTGGCTGCAGCGGCTGCGCGA